TTTGGGAATTACAGTTGTTTTTTCGAAAAAATAACGACTTTTTTAAGGGGTCTTTTTGTGTTGAAAAAGTAAGGCTATAGGCTTAGAAAAAATCGTCGAAAATTCTCAAAACTTATTCCGCTGAAAACAAGTCAAGTTTCTTCTTTCTAATTAGAATAAACAGCAAATGAATTTAGTTTGGGAATTACCGTTGTTTTTTCGAAAAAATAACGACTTTTTTAAGGGGTCGATTTCTCATGAAAAAGTAAGGCTATAGCCTTAGAAAAAATCGTCGAAAAATTCTCAAGTATTTTTCCACAAAAAGGAATTCGGGGTTTTTCTTTCTAATTAGAAAAAACAAAAAATGAATTTAGTTCGGCAATTACAGTTGTTTTTTTGAAAAAAAAACGACTTTTTAAAGGGGTCGATTTTTGATGAAAAAGTAAGGCTATAGGCTTAGAAAAAATCGTCGAAAATTCTCAAAAACGTTTCCGCTCAAAACAAGTCGAGTTTCTTCTTTCTAATCAGAATAAACAGAAAATGAATTTAGTTTGGGAATTACAGTTGTTTTTTCGAAAAAAACGACTTTTTAAAGAGGTCGATTTTTGATGAAAAAGTAAGGCTATAGGCTTACAAAAAATGGTCGGAAAATTCGCAAATATTTTTTCACAAAAAGGAATTCGGGGTTTTTCTTTCTAATTAGAAAAAACAAAAAATGAATTTAGTTCGGCAATTACAGTTGTTTTTTTGAAAAAAAAACGACTTTTTAAAGGGGTCGATTTTTGATGAAAAAGTAAGGCTATAGGCTTTGAAAAAATCGTCGAAAAATCTCAAAAAATTTTCCGCTCAAAACAAGTCAAGTTTCTTCTTTCTAATTAGAATAAACAGAAAATGAATTTAGTTTGGGAATTACAGTTGTTTTTTCGAATAAAAACGACTTTCTAAAGAGGTCGATTTTTGATGAAAAAGTAAGGCTATAGGCTTACAAAAAATGGTCGGAAAATTCGCAAATATTTTTTCACTAAAAAAAACCTGGGTTCTTCTTTCTAATCAGAATAAACAGAAAATGAATTTAGTTTTGGAATTACAGTTGTTTTTTTGAAAAAAAAACGACTTTCTAAAGGGGTCGATTTTTGATGAAAAAGTAAGGCTATAGGCTTAGAAAAATCGTCGAAAAATTCTCAAATATTTTTTCACTAAAATCAAATCAGGGTTCTTCTTTCTAATTAGAATAAACAGCAAATGAATTTAGTTTGGGAATTACAGTTGTTTTTTCGAAAAAAAAACGACTTTTTGAAGGGGTCGATTTTTGATGAAAAAGTAAGGCTATAGGCTTAAAAAAAAGGTCGAAAAATTCTCAAATATTTTTTCACTAAAAAAAACCTGGGTTCTTCTTTTTAATCAGAATAAACAGCAAATGAATTTAGTTTGGGAATTACAGTTGTTTTTTCGAAAAAAAAACGGCTTTTTGAAGGGGTCGATTTTTGATGAAAAATTAAGGCTATAGGCTTAAAAAAATGGTCGAAAAATTCTCAAATATTTTTTCACTAAAAAAAACCTGGGTTCTTCTTTTTAATCAGAATAAACAGAAAATCAATTTAGTTTGGGAATTACAGTTGTTTTTTTGAAAAAAAACGACTTTCTAAAGGGGTCGATTTTTGATGAAAAAGTAAGGCTATAGGCTTAAAAAAATCGTCGAAAATTCTCAAAACTTATTCCGCTGAAAACAAGTCAAGTTTCTTCTTTCTAATTAGAATAAACAGCAAATGAATTTAGTTTGGGAATTACAGTTGTTTTTTCGAAAAAATAACGACTTTTTTAAGGGGTCTTTTTGTGTTGAAAAAGTAAGGCTATAGGCTTAGAAAAAATCGTCGAAAATTCTCAAAACTTATTCCGCTGAAAACAAGTCAAGTTTCTTTTTTTCTAATTAGAATAAACAGCAAATGAATTTAGTTTGGGAATTACCGTTGTTTTTTCGAAAAAATAACGACTTTTTTAAGGGGTCGATTTCTCATGAAAAAGTAAGGCTATAGCCTTAGAAAAAATCGTCGAAAAATTCTCAAGTATTTTTTCACAAAAAGGAATTCGGGGTTTTTCTTTCTAATTAGAAAAAACAAAAAATGAATTTATTTCGGCAATTACAGTTGTTTTTTTGAAAAAAAAACGACTTTTTAAAGGGGTCGATTTTTGATGAAAAAGTAAGGCTATAGGCTTAGAAAAAATCGTCGAAAATTCTCAAAAAAGTTTCCGCTCAAAACAAGTCGAGTTTCTTCTTTCCAATTAGAATGAACAGAAAATGAATTTAGTTTGGGAATTACAGTTGTTTTTTCGAAAAAAAAACGACTTTTTAAAGAGGTCGATTTTTGATGAAAAAGTAAGGCTATAGGCTTAAAAAGAATGGTCGGAAAATTCTCAAATATTTTTTCACTAAAAAAAACCTGGGTTCTTCTTTCTAATCAGAATAAACAGAAAATGAATTTAGTTTTGGAATTACAGTTGTTTTTTTGAAAAAAAAACGACTTTCTAAAGGGGTCGATTTTTGATGAAAAAGTAAGGTTATAGGCTTTGAAAAAATCGTCGAAAAATCTCAAAAAATTTTCCGCTCAAAACAAGTCAAGTTTCTTCTTTCTAATTAGAATAAACAGAAAATGAATTAAGTTTGGGAATTACAGTTGTTTTTTCGAAAGAATAACGACTTTTTAAAGGAGTCAATTTTTGATGAAAAAGTAAGGTTATAGGCTTAGAAAAAATCGTTGAAAAATTCTCAAGTATTTTTTCACAAAAAGGAATTCGGGGTTTTTCTTTCTAATTAGAAAAAACAAAAAATGAATTTAGTTCGGCAATTACAGTTGTTTTTTTGAAAAAATACGACTTTTTAAAGGGGTCGATTTTTGATGAAAAAGTAAGGCTATAGGCTTAGAAAAAATCGTCGAAAATTCTCAAAACATTCTCCGCTCAAAACAAGTCGAGTTTCTTCTTTCCAATTAGAATAAACAGAAAATGAATTTAGTTTCGGAATTACATTGTTTTTTCGAAAAAATAACGACATTTTTAAGGGGTCTTTTTGTGTTGAAAAAGCAAGGCTATAGGCTTAGAAAAAATCGTCGAAAATTCTCAAAACTTATTCCGCTGAAAACAAGTCAAGATTCTTCTTCCTAATTAGAATAAACAGCAAATGAATTTAGTTTGGGAATTACCGTTGTTTTTTCGAAAAAATAACGACTTTTTTAAAGGATCTTTTTGTGTTGAAAAAGTAAGGCTATAGGCTTAGAAAAAATGGTCGAAAAATTCTCAAATATTTTTTCTCTGAAAACAAATCAGGGTTCTTCTTTCTACTTAGAATAAACAAAAAATGAATTTAATTTGGGAATTACAGTTGTTTTTTCGAAAAAAAAACGACTTTTTAAAGGGGTCGATTTTTGATGAAAAAGTAAGGTTATAGGCTTTGAAAAAATCGTCGAAAAATCTCAAAACTTATTCCGCTGAAAACAAGTCAAGTTTCTTCTTTCTAATTAGAATAAACAGCAAATGAATTTAGTTCGGGAATTACAGTTGTTTTTTCGAAAAAATAACGACTTTTTAAGGGGTCTTTTTGTGTTGAAAAAGTAAGGCTATAGGCTTAGAAAAAATGTTCGAAAAATTCTCAAATATTTTTTCACTAAAAACAAATCAGGGTTCTTCTTTCTAATTAGAATAAACAGAAAATGAAGTTAATTTGGGAATTACAGTTGTTTTTTCGAAAAAATAACGACTTTTAAAGGGGTCGATTTTTCATGAAAAAGTAAGGCTTTAGGCTTAGAAAAAATGTTCGAAAAATTCTCAAATTTTTTTTCACTTAAAACAAATAAGGGTTCTTCTTTCTAATAAGAAAAAACAGAAAATGAAGTTAGTTTAGGAATAACAGTTGTTTTTTCGAAAAAATAACGACTTTTTTAAGGGGTCGATTTGTGTTGGAAAAGTAAGGCTATAGGCGTAGAAAAAATGTTCGAAAAATTCTCAAATATTTTTTCACTAAAAACAAATCAGGGTTCTTCTTTCTAATTAGAATAAACAAAAAATGAATTTATTTTGGGAATTACAGTTGTTTTTTTGAAAAAATAAAGACTTTTTAAAGGGGTCGATTTTTGATGAAAAAGTAAGGCTATAGGCTTACAAAAAATCGTCGAAAATTCTCAAACATTTTTCCGCTAAAAACAAATCAGGGTTCTTCTTTCTAATTAGAATAAACAGCAATTGAATTTAATTTTTGGAATCAACGCTGTTTTTTCAAAAAATAACCACTTTTTAGAGGGGTTGATTGTGAATAAAAAAGAAAGGCTATAAGCCTTGAAAAATTACGAAATTTCTTGACAACTTTTCTGTTGGAGAAAACATTTTTTTTGGTACAAAAACCATGGCTATCGGAGTGGTTTGTCATTTTTAACGGTATCTTTCCTTCTGGAAGACGCTCTGATTAGCAAATTTTCTTTACTCCAGCCCAATAAGCATTATAAATTTATCTTTAAAATGCTTGAAATCACATGCTTGAAATTTAAAATTGTCTTAAAAAACTTTTTTTCTTTGCTCAAAACCGAAGGCAATTAATAGGCTTGGAATTTTTTCGTAATTTTTGATAGAAAAGTCTGCCTTCTGAAACACACTCTAACAAACGAATTTACGTCACTCTAGCCCACTGATGGCCATATGTGGCTAGAATAGAAACAACATTCTATGGTATTAATAAAAGATTAATAGGCTTACATTCCTGACGCCATTTTATATAGATAACAACATTGATGAAGCATTGCTTTGCAACACGTAGGAATCACTATAGATCACTGCTTGTAGAATTTTTCATAAATGCATTAGAGCTGTTCGAAACAACTAATTGGTAACGAAATAAATTGTTTTACTAAAAGGGTTACGAAACTATAAAAAAGACGCTCACCTTTGAGTACTGACGAGATGAGTATCCATTGCCACAATATTTTGTCCAGAGATCGTTCAATTTTTCTGGAAGATTTCATTGAGGATTGCTAATGAGATCAAGGCATGAAAAAGGAAAACTTTTCTGGAAGACTATTGCTAGTGCTTGGAAAAACAGCTTCAGAACTTTCTTAAACATAGTTGTGCAAAACACTATTTACAAAACGTGTCATTAAATATCACTATAAAGACAACTCTATACAAATAAACTACCGAGAACACTAAAAACTGACATTCTCGCATTCTGATTGTGTAAAAAGCCACTGTTGCTCAACAAAAGCAAGAAGATTTGCAGGGATTCTGCTGACATGGAGCTAAAGAAAAATTAATGCCAAAAGAGGATTTCTAGCAGCAACAGCCTACCTTGAAAAACAGGAAATAAGCCTTGAAGAGAGTATCGTTTGTAAAAAGGAAATTTGAAGTTGCTTGAAGCCCCTTTGAAGCTATGGCAGGTCAAACTGCAAAGAGATTCTTTAAGAACGAGCTTTTTGAAAAAAGGATTGAAAGAATTGCATAAAATTCTTGCTATATTAGAATTTCGAAAGACACTTAGTTTCCAGCGATATGAAAGTTAGGCTTTTCCCACAGTTTTCAAAGCTCGCTTTCGTCCAATAGAGCTTAAGTTTTTTTATAATTGTGCCCTATGAGCAGGGATGGTCAACAAGTCTCCATTGCCTAATTCAAACAATTGAATAACCGAAAAATAGTTACAATGAAAACTCGCTTAGATTTTCTATAATAGTACAATTTTGCAGACATGATTACAACTGTTAGGGCTTGACACTGTAAATCCTGGATCAAGTGCCTAAGTTCGTTAATTTTTTGGCATTTTGTCTGGGTTCTTATTCAAGGGGGTGCTTATTAAAGCGGGAGCTTATTCAAGGAGGAGCTTACTCAAGGGGGAGCTTTCTCAAAGGGGAGCTTATTCAAGGGGGAGCTTACCCAAGAGGGAGCTTATTCAAGTGGGAGCTTACTCAAGGGACGTTTATTCAAGGGAGTACTTATCAAATAAAGCGCTTAATCACGGGTAACATTTGTTAAAAAAGTGATATCGAAAGAAGGTTTGAACTTTATTTCGGAAAACGCCGTGAACATTAATTAACAAGGTTAAAACGCAAATTATAGCGTAAATACTGTTTTCAACTTTTCTTTACTTAATAAAAATAAAAACTTTACATACACTTAACGCTCATTCAAGGGGACACTTATTAAAGGGGATGCTTTTTCAAAAAGGGGCATAATTGGGAGCACTAAGCATAGAGCGCTTAGTCTAAAGCGCTCAATTTGGAAAGCTTTATCAGGGATTTATGATATAAAAAGCGTTGCAAGCGAAAGGCTGGTACACCTGTTTGTACCTTATATTTTACTTTGAGAAAATCAATCGGCATACAATACAATACTTATCTTGTTCTTGGAACTGCCAAACGGTTGATTTCTCATGAGATCTAGCTCTAAGCTTATAATCGATTAAAACATTTTCAGCAATTGGAATTGTTGCTTTTTCCTTTCGGATTCAAAACAACTTTACGATTATCTGGCTTTTCATACGAAGCATAACCATTCTCCTTTAATGTGTCATACTTCGGCTCTGGGAGGGCTACTACCCCTTCGTCAAGGCCCTTTTCTTTAGCTTTCATTTTCTCCTCCTCTACCAGCACATTGACTGCTTCTTTTCCCAGCTTTTTACCAACTGATTCGTAAAGATGCTCGTTTGTCTGCCCTGGGGGCTGCAGGTTGGAGCTCGTATCGTATATCGGGTTGTTCAAGTCCAAATTTCCAAGTCGTTGCTTGTCTTTGTAAAGTGGATTCTCGAACCTCTGCAAGGTAAAATGAATTGACAAGATGAAGCCTTATAATGAGAAAGGTAAATCAACATGAATTCTGCAACAAAAAACAGCTAATCGACAGTGGAAGGGAGGGGTAGGCTCAAAATTTATGTGAAAAACAAATAAACAATAGAAAAAAGAATTCAACAAGAAAAATGTCCTGTAACAAGCCAAATTCAACACAAGCATGCAAAATTAAGGAGCTGTGGTAACTTGGTATAAAGAGTTCCTACATCTAAAATCAAAAGTATAATTCAGATTCAGGTTGGAATGTAGAATTACAACATAAACATATTCAACGTATGCAGGTAGTTTTATGCATTGATGGTGCAGTCGTTATAGATCTAAGGGTCTGGGGTTCAAGTCCCTTACATGATCACACTTCGCTCAAAGTGAGGGGAGTCGCCAGCTCTCTGCAGTTCCAGAAATCACGAGGTGTGGTAACATCGAAAGGAAGGACCAGGACACTGCTCGATAAGCCTAGCTTCTCAGTGTACTAAAAACTACCTTCGGATGCTAGGTAGAAACAAATACAAATATGCCAAATAGACTTACCTTTATATTAGCTGGCCTCTTGCTAGATTGTTGATTATTCAGGTTGTTATTTACAAGAGGTTGCAGCCCCCTTCTGGATGGAATAACTTGAGGAGAATTTTCAGGTGAAACCGTTTCACCCGAATAAACCGGATTCGCCAAGCCGTACATGTCCCTGCCTTTAAGCTCTTGAAACACCACTGGTTGATCAGACTGCAAAGATAATGCATCTTCGTATCAATCAGTATTCATTTGTGGAAATAGTTTAAAGCAGCTAACATTTGAATTCGGTCCGTGCACATCGCTCCGATTGCCTATTTAAGAGCTTTTTTTGGTCGAAAGGTAAGTACAGGCACTATGTAAAGGACAGGTTTCAAATAGCACTAAGAATAATCAAGATACCTGCTCAAGCTTGAAAGTAATCATAAGTAAAAATGGGCGAAAAGAAGATAGCAAATGATCGTGTCGTTTTTGTCTTTTTGACAGACTAACTTCAATTCAAAAATCTCCTGTATAGGCCAATACTATCAAATCTTATTGTCAGTTTTTTAACTCTGCGCTCTGCGCATGGTGAACAGATTTTGCAACATCAGCGCAAATCATTTTATTTGAATATCAATTTATTTTAGAACCAAAGAATACTTCCAACTAAAACACTGCTGTGTAGAAAAAGATGAAAAGAAGTTGGCAGAATGTAGAAATTACCTTTATAATTACAGTAACAAAATGGATATAATGCCAGTGAAACATTTTCAAATAACAGTAAACGATAAAACTGGAGCCTAGTAGAACTAAAGCTGCTAGTTAAGAAGAGTTGTTTCTGACTTTACAAACAACTTTTAATCTAGCACCAGGCTAGGCCTCATTTCATGGATTAAACCAACTAAGAGACTTCTTTAATCAAGTAGAGGCAGCTCAAGTTGACCCTCGAATAAGAAACACAGACAACAACAAAGAATGAGTGAAAAGATGAGCAGAAAAGATACCTTCCGTTTTGATCTCTTTCGCCTTATAACAAAACAAATTAGCAAAAATGCCACAACACAAATGACAGCGACAGAGCCAACACCAATCACCCAGGGTTTTGGCGATGAGCCTTGATCATCCTCAGCTTTCCTTTTACCAGTCCCACTTTTGCCAATATCCGGGAACACATAGGGGCATTCAATACCAGCCTGGATTAAGAGCTTACAGTCTTCCTCGTTCACGCAACGAATATCTGTACCATTGAGCAAGGCACACATACTGCTTCCAGATAACGCCTCGTAACCAGAGTTTGGATCCATGGCCACAAAGATCAAGTAACTGTGGAATGATAACACTCTTTGTGATGAAGCAGCTTCAACGTAAACATCTTTCGGTATGTCTCTTTTTCGCCGACTTATAACTGTAAAACATCGATAGAAATTTGAAAGAATTATGTAAAATTTGTGTCCTAAGAAACTTGATTTAGAATTGTAGCATAAAAATAAAATTGTAGTGCAAAAATAAAAATCAAATTCAATAGGTAGCAGCAGACCCCTTTTCAGCAACACCCCCGTCCCCTCTCCACCACCATAAAAGTTTCCATAGTTAGAAACTCGATTCAGAGTTCAATTATAAATTACATAAATTTTATAAATTTGATATAGAAGCAAGAAAACTATTTTTATTCAATTTGTCTCTTTTAAATTGTGATTCTGCAAGGAATTTCAAGGTATCTAATTTGACTTGATAAAGAGTACACGCTCGAAAAGTCGCGTTTTTATAGTCTTTTTCATTTTTGAAACTTTCAGTATTTACTATATTGTTGAATTTGAAGCTACCATGTAAACAGTTTGATCTGATCGGAATTTCAGGTCAAGATCCAACAAATTTCAGGTTTCAGATTTCTTGTAGGTACTAGATCAGAACTTTTCCTTAGTTCAATAAATTCGTCTTTGAGTCACACATAAACTCTAGTAAAGATTTTCAACAACCCCTCAGTTGGTAATCTGTCGTTTTCCTGTTATTTTGTTTGGCAAAAATCGTTATCCAAGCGATTTTCTACATATTTTCGAGAAAATCTACAACATAGGCTAGGAGAGCAGCATTTACACAAGCTTAAAGATACACCGTCACTTTATTAAAAGAAGATTTTCTTATCGTCACCCGCCTGTCAAAACCTTTTAGAAAATTTTTCCGTTATTTTCTCGATACTATGTACTCTCATCATGACTGAAAAGTTTAGGTCTTACCGTTTTTAGAAAACAATGAATTCAAGGTCTGTCCCGCAGGCCTTCTTCCTTCGAATATTGACTCAACATATGACTCGATTTTGTATTTATTTTGCACCTGTGACGCAATGGTGAAGGGAAGTTGCAGCAGTATTGGAACTTGTTTCAACCGCGGAATGCATCTGAAATCAATAAAACTTGTCTTAAAGAACACTTTTGGTAGACAATTTCAATGAAAGATATCTAAAACAATGCAAAGAAGGAATTTAAATTTCCAACACGATATAATATATTCTCGGGTCAGATATTGTGTAGCCAATACATAGAAATAAAACTTTTCAATTACAGAACCAAAAAAATTGAAAATCACGATCTTTGCAATGCCAATTTGCATTCTCCCACCATTTCTGATATTTAAAAATGGTTTACCTTCAAAGATTAACAACCGTACCTTTTTGTAGCACTGATATGGCTCACACAGACCTCAGTCTTCGCGCATTTGGTTTTGGCGCATATATATGGATCCCTGTCACATTTCGGTCCAGACATGCCATTCTCACAAACGCATACACCGTTGACTAACTTGTACAATGTTTGGCAAGATGGAGCTGCAGGGAGAGGAACAATTGTCATATTAAAACGACGATATGGTGTAATTTAGATGCAAAGAAAGTACTTCTAGTACAACAAGTAGTTTGACATGAATTATTACTTTTTTAATTAATTACCTTTTATATTGTAAATAATTCAATTTTTTAAACAATTGCCATGTACATGTAAACAATTGCCATGCATTGACATGTAAAGTAAAGTTAGTGAATCCTTCGGTTTATTCGTAAACTGATTAAAAAAGAAAAAGAAACAAAGAGTTTCGAGGCAAATCTTGAAATTTGATCCAAATTTATATGAAATGAGAAATTTGAGGTGTTATTGAAGCACGATGTCCATCAAAGGAACTCTATATAAGATAAACAATATTTAAGATAAACAATTATAAATAATGATTTCGTTTTACCTTCTATCCTGACAACAAATGTTCTTTCAATAAGGAATATAGGTTTTTTCTTGTCTCTGCACATGACAGGAATATTGTATACGCTCTGGGATTTGTAAACGAAATCGCTCTTTCTATGTAAACGGAATTGCTGGTCGATGTAAAATTTGCTTTTTATGTCATTTAAATTCACAGTGTTAGAGAATATTTCACAACTGTAAGTATGGTCTTCTGGGATGACTTTAGCACCGTTTTTGCAGAGACCTTTTGATTCTGGGTGATCAGGGTCTTCTACGACTATCTGTCCAATAACACTCTCGGTTGGTGACTTTTCAGGAATGACCAACAACGCATTCGCCAAGCACATGTTTACTGGTCTTTCATTGATGTCTAAAATCCAAAAAACATACATCAGGGTCTACACGATTCGATAACAATTCATAATAAAACTTTGACTAAAGGAACAAAAAATCAGTTGAAAAGTGTCATGATAACATAGCCATGCTATATTTACAATTTCATCACGGTTTCCCTTGAAACAAAAATTCATTATTCGCAGAAAATCTGTTTTAAGATAATTAAAATTTTTCTTCATGGTTAAAACAATGTTATTATTATACAAGAAACCGGACCCAATGATGTTATGCATGATTCTTTATGTAATACAGAAAACAATACTATTTTGCAACTCTACATACGTTTATATATAACGAACACAAAAAGCAATATATATATCTTTCGGGCTATTTGATTTTCACAACTTTGGAAATTATTCCAATTCTGACCAAAGGGAGCCCTGATAGTCTCGAATTTTCTCTTAAATTAGTGATGAAAATAAATCACATTTTAAAAACGCGCGCTTTGGCAAACGTCATTAAACTCACTTGTGATGAGAATTGTAAATGACTTTGACACCGCCAGTCCCTTTGAATTCTTTGACTCAATGACAATGTTTGTTGAATTTGACGTTTCGTAATCCAGTGGTGCACTTGTGTAAAGAACGAGCTTTGTTCCGAAAACTCGGAACGGTTTGCGGTCATCTGTGACTTTGAAGCTGTAACTGTCACTCCCTCCATCAATAATGCTCAATGTGCCAATTTCCGTTCCATTTGCTGCATTTTCAGCGACACTGGCTGAAGAAAGTGTGAAGTCCCACCTTGGTCTGGTTGAGCTCTCTGTTAAAAGGGATTGGTAGGGATTGATAATTAGCATTTATTAAATTTTCAATTTTGTAGGAGAGCCCTTCAAAAAGGGTAAACAACTGAGGTTGAGTTGGTTGGCAAAAGTAGTAGGACATTATTGTTCCGTTCTGTTTTGAAACTATCATCTCGATGATTACGGATATTCTTCCTTTAACAACACTGCTTGGTAGCCATTTACACCAAATTTACACAAGCAACCCCCCCCCCCCCCGTATTAGGACCCCCCCCTTATTCGTATTAGGACCCAAGAGTATACTAAAATTCTTTGAAATAAAGTAATTTTGTGCTTATTACAATTCTAGGAATTCACTGAACTCACCCAGAACGTTGATCACCGTAGTTTTCTCTATAAGGTGCACTGGTTTTTGAATATCTCTGCAAATAATTGGCAGTGAGTATTGCTTTTTGGCACTGTAGTCAAATGTTGTGTTTCCGTGTAGTCTCAAACTCTGATCAATGTAAAAAATCCTTGCCAGTTCCGAGACATCGATGAAGTTCGACTCAATCTGGCAACTGTAGTTTTGCGATTGCCTTAGCGAAGGGGATGGCTTGCTACATATTCCTCGGCTTTCAATATGATCTGGATCCTCAATGAATATTTGTCCGACTATTTGGTCAGCATTGGTCAGCTCGACAACAGTCTTGTTACCCAAAATGCACATTTTGACTGGTCTTTCGTTAACGTCTACAAAAAATAGATATAGGAATTGAGCAGTGTATCTTACGGGGTATTATGGGGTTGTGACACCCTCATTGAATATTTAATGAGTTAGTGAATAAATCTACAGTGAGTCTACCAAATCGTTAGTTGGTCCACAAATGCCTGACTTGAAATCAAGTTATTCTTCATCGATTAATTTCAGCATTCAAGACCCCTCCATTCCCCTGTAATGAACCCCAGCAGCCGAATTACAGGAGGTATTAACATAATTCAAAGCGATTCCAAACTCGCGAATAATAAACTGCTTTCCTGTGAGGACAGTTCAGAGAGACGAAAAGCATACCCAACATGATGATCCAGGTCTATTTACTCCATGATCAAGTACCTGCATTTAGCCCTCCTTTTCGGGGTTTATGCTCCTGCATTTTCTGACTGAAATTTAAAAGCTCTACGAGAACGAAATTCATTAGAGAATGCATAATGAAAAAGGGTAGTCTTACTTATAATTCTAATGAGAAACAATCTTTGCACAGTTGTTCCATCAGAGCCCACGGCAATTATACCAACACCTGTCGAATTGGTTGTCTCGTAATCGAGTGGAGCTCCTGTGACCAGAATGAGGTCACTGCGAACAATTCTAAAAGGTGCTGATTCTGCTTGCATCACCCTCAGCTGGTATGTCGAGCCACGTTTGCCGTTTATCACTGATAAAGTGCCAATCCTGGTGCCATTAAGAGCATCTTCTGAGATTGTATTCGAAGACAGTGCTATGTCAAGCTGCAATCGTTGATCCCCTGAGGCTTAAGGCAAATAAATTCACACATGAAATCACTGATGATTGTATTTTAATTAAAATTGAGGGTAGCAAATAAAAGTCCATCAATTGTACACACAAAAGCACGTACATCAGCGGGAAACTCAGAATAGGGGGGGGGGAGGGTCTTATCGATGAATGAGATACTCTCCCACCCCTACTACAAGGAATAGTGTTTCGCCGTCTGCAAATTGATGTTTTTGTACAGCTACCGATGGTTAGGGTGATGGGGCTCCGGCAAAAGTGATAGTCATTCTGTGTGGGTATTCTTGGGTATTCAGGATTTTCTTCTTAAACAAAAAATTGCAATCAGTGCAAGAACAAGAAATTAAAAGAAGCGCGAACTTACCAAGAACTTCGACTTTGCAATTAAACGTTACGTTGATCCGATGTCCCTGGTACCGCTCATACTTTCCATTGCGTAACCGCAGAAGCATACCATCATCTGTTACGTTCAGTGGCACGTTGTAAGTAGACTGCTTCGACCGGTCTAGTTTCTAAAAAGAGAATATGTACATAAGTCCAGTTTTGAATCCTTTAAAGAAAAACAAAGGACAGGTTAGCTGAGTGATTGAATTTGGCTTCATGACCATCAAACGTGCGAAGCCTGACAATATCAAACTTTAATCTACTGTCATTTTTCACTCCCAAATTTACTGTAATTTGGCATCATGAAATGCGATAATCAGAAAAACTGGAGGGCAGGGGGAGCGAAGCGCCAAGAAAATGGAAAAACAGTAGCAAACTAAGGAAAACTGTAAAAAATTTCGAGGGCAAAATGGGGCCCCATGTTCCGGTGTCCCTGGGGACATTATCGCAAATTTGAGTGAATAAATGAATAATCCCAACTGCAGGTGTAAGAACTTACAACATAATTTATACAAAATAGTAAGCTGATATCCTAATTGATAAAAGGTTTCATTTCCTACATATTTCAAAACGGTTCAATTTCTAGATCTTTGAGATTTCTGTCTACTTTTTTACTAAGTTTTGGAGTAGTTAACTGGGGATGCTACCCCAAATTTCTCTTACAGGTAAAGATTTAAATATTGCAATGTAGACCGTGCTTAAATTCGTTTAAAGAGCATCACAAGAGCATTTTATTTCTGGTTAGAACCATTACAATTCGGTATTTTCAGACCCCGGAAGAGTCTAGTTGTTTGAAAAAATTCCAGGGTTTAATGTTAATCTCTCTTCATAACCTAGTTCAAGCTTTATATCTATTTGATAACCAGCTTCATTCAATTTAAGAGATACACACCATGAGAGTAGACATCTTTGAATAGGACACAACTATTAAATAGCTGTTTTTGCATTCCCCTTGAAACTTCCCAACACTTTCACTTCAGCCCCGCTAACACCAACATTCGTCTATTTTTATTCTTGAAAGCTCCCTTGGAGTTTCAAGTTTTCATCAAAATATTGTATTACCTTATTTAATTCGATTTCATATCGCATTCTAAAATAAGTATCTGAAAAACCATACAAGATAAAAAATATAAGACTTACCCCTGTTTTAGCCAAGTACTGATCATCTGCAATAACAAATGGCAATGCTGGGGCACCGGAAGATATCCCCGCAATCAGATTTTGTTTTGGCTGCAGCGAGGTCTGGTTTTGGCTAATTCCGGTATCATACTCCTCATTGTCCGGGTCACGTGGCTTAAATGTCCAGACAACAGACCCGTTAGAGGCAGCTTCATCGACGTAAATTTGTTGGGGGCACGGATTGTATGGTCTTTCATTGACATCTGGAAAAGCAGAAGAAATTGTAATTTTCAAGTATGTAGTCAGAGATAAATAAAGATAAGCCAAGCTTTCAGTATGCAGTTAAACATTTGCTTTTTTCACAGCCATTTTCAAATTACTTACAGCCCCCCCCCCCTTCCCCCAGTATAAGCCCCATTAAAATAAGCATCCATCCTAAAAGTAAAAATTAATTTTAACTCCATATCAAGAGAGGATTATTCAGAAAATTTAAATCAAAAAATTCAGAGCATTTTTAGCCTGTCACGCGACTCTCACTAGAAACGTAAATTTCAATCTCTGCATTTGACAAAACAAACTGAGCCTTACTGGAATCACGAGGCAAAAATGAAGTTTTTTTTAAATAAAAGAAGCATTTGATACCTGTAACATTAACGACAATATCTTTGAATACTGTAAACTGACTTTGACCAGAAGCAACGACATCAGAGCAACTGACAGTTAAAGCATACTGACGCCATCCTTCAAAGTTCAGTGGGCGCCTCGTTTTGATTTGCAATGTGGCCTTATCAACCTCGAAGAAAGCACCCGTTGTGCCATTATTAACAACACTACACATATGACTTTGTCCAACATCTGGGTCCTGAATTGTAATTTGGCCTACCACAGCATTGATTTGGTTCTCAGATACAGTACGGACAGTCACTCTTATATCTGTCAGGGGTTCGTTTACATCTGAAAAGGAAGAAATAAAACTGTCCACCATGTTTGAAATGTAAAATAAGTTTCTAAGTATACCAAGAAAACTGAGGAATTAGAAATTAGCCTAAGAAATGTTGTTTTACAAAAATTGAAAAATAAAAAAAAAAACAAGAAAACCTTGTGGGTTCATTGGCAACGTGGCTCTATTCAAAATAATACCAAACCACGACTTTTGGAAACCATGTCGACAGACATCAATTGTGAGGAGAAAGTTCCAAAAATGCTTCACTTTTTAAGATCACACTTAATAAGAACACCGAGGCTTGATTTTAAGAAAAAAGACTAGTGTAAGAAGATGCTTAGGCTAAGATTGAAAGTTAGAAGAAAAACAATGTGTTATCTTAAATTTATCCATCATGATAACAAACAGAGAATATTTATCGTGTACTAAAAATGCAAAGCAAAACTGTTTTTAATGTTCTTAGTAAAAATGTATTGCATGTAAAGGTAGAAAAATCAATGTGTGGATAAGAGCATTATTAAGAATTCCCGAGCCCCAAAACACTAAAAAATAAGAAATGCAAGCCTAGGCAGAAAATAATTACTCGTTCTTATAAAAGAAGAGTGCAAAATATTGGTAGGCTGCGATTGAAAAACTGAAATGTTGTCGCTGTTGTCGTGAAATGTTGACGAAAGAAATGAATATACACATCAAATCAATAGCATTTTTCTCTGTTAAAATGTTAAGGAGGTTTTTGCAAATTCCAGCAACGATAGGGTGTTTCAATCTAGACTCTAATAACATACATTTTACAGATACAGTATTTAAAGAAGATAATCCCTCATTCAAAAGGAATTTGGCAATGCTCACTCGCTTACACAGTTATAGAATTCTTTTTATGACGAAGTTATAATTAACATGACGTAAATTGTAGCTCATTTCAATCAGTAACATTGACATTTAAGTACTGAAAAAGCAATGTGAATGGTTTTATTGTAATGGTATGTTTCAGAGAATCGTTACCTGTAACCTGAACATGAAATACTTTCTCAACAGAGAGCCCGTATGCATCTGTGCATCTCAATTTCACATCGAGGCTTTTCATTGATCCCAGAGCCTCGTAGTCAGTTTTCTTTGTGCCCGCTACGAGGTGCATTGCTGACACAGCAAAATAATCGGTGTTCCCACTGACGATGCGGCAAGAGGCAGTTGAGTTGAAATCCTCGTCTAGCACTGTTATGGAACCGATCCATGTTCCTGGTGGGCTATTTTCAGGGAGGGTCAAGGGAACTACAATGATATCTGTGGGTGCTTCGTTGATATCTGTTACGGGAGAAAACAATACACAAGTTGCTTATCAAGTTTCTAGTTGAACAAATGTCCCGAAATGCTTAAATAATCAAACTTTAAATAAATAAAACACAACTTACAGATAATCCGAAATTTAACTGTTTTATTTCACAAGAGGCCGTTTTCCCCCTTCACGATAAACCCTTTTTAGGCCAATTATCTATAAATAAATCTTTCGACAAATTAAATCTTTCGATGAACCAAATTTTGCAGTGAGAGAAATTTTTATCTTGAAAGTTCTAATTCCAAGACGTCGATTGTTTTCGCAAAACAAGCACCAAGGACAATGTAGATTGCTTCAGACGTTAATTCTCTTTTTGCAACAACTTATGGACTTCTATTAAAGCGAATTTCCATACGAAATAGCTGCGGAAAAAACTTTCATGCGATGACTTCCAATGTATGATGCGCATGTCTCAGTGATTGGGTTATTTTTATTTGCTAAACTTTCCTGGTCACAAACTTTTAAGCAGTCCCAAAGCAATACCGGTTGATGGTTTTCTTGGAAAGAAGGGAAATATGGAAGAGGATGGAAACTTCTTAAATTAAAACAATGGGTTTATCGATGAATAGCATTTTCTATTGAAAATAGGAATGGAAGTGGCTATTAGAGGAACAAAGGAATCAGTGTGTCGTGGTCTTCCGTATGTTAGAAAACGAGTATTGCAGATATGATCAGAATAAATATATTGGTAATTCAAAATCTTTTTCAAAGAATTTGGCCTAACAAATTTACGAGAAACCTAATAAGAACCTGTTTCATAGATTTCTGAAATAAAAGTTTACAGTTCATGTGTCTCATGAACTTCTTGGTAAACAATTTTTGGTGATACAAAATTTGATGGCTTTGTAAAAAGCAAACATTTTAAGGAACGCTTAAGCCGTTCATCCGAAACTCTTCAGAGTATAAAAGGTCAGAACAATGATCAAAAATTCAAAGCCAGAGAACATATTAGTAACCAGTTGTGGATAGAAATAGGTCATTCACCAAAGGCGATCACGTAACTGTAGAGGCTGCCTAATCATTGCTGCTTGCCTAAAGAAAACACAACCAATGGAGATCAAGGAAAAACCTTATTAAAACTTAAGTTCAAAGTGCACTCATGATTTGTTTTAAGTCTATACGGAACTCGGAATTGGATCAACTAAAAAAGATTATTCTTGAAAAGGGCAATCTATATGGTGCTGTTTCGAAAAATAATGAGGAAAAAGTCTCAAGTTTTCTAGAAGAAATAGAGTCCACAATAGTGCCAAGTTCATCTAAAACTACCATGGATCGGTAACTTTTCCTTTTAGTTGTAAGCTCAGATTAAACAGTGTATCATAAAATGTTTCTCTGCTATCAATATTTGTATGGTTCATCATACAAGGGCAGCCCTTCAAAAAATTGCATTCCTACCGTGCCAAATTGATTCTTTTAATTAGGATGCACAACCTAAAAATCGTAGGATAGAATAAAACAGCATATTCCTTCAAACATAGGAATCAGGACTTTCTCCTGAAAAAAAGCTTTTCGGTCTTGCTGCTTTAAAAAACCAAAATTCTGCCCTCGGACAGGATTTACAAGAGATTTTCATAAACATGAAAACAAAATGGTATTGTGAAACCAGAAGGAGTTCGTTTGCGCCCTTGGACTTAATAAGAAAAATTTCCTATTGGCAAGCGGCACTGATTGGGCAACCTGAAAAGTCGTGTCCTCAGGTTTCTGACTGACTTTCGTCATCCATAACTATTCATATGCCATAGTTTTATTATTCTGACTTTTACACTCCCAGGCGTGGCAGATTTATTTTTTCAAATGCAACTTTATAATACTGAAACCAATTTCCTCTTTCTACAAACATTATATCTTAAATTCGTTAAGTTAGCTACGTATCGCTTCGCTAGAGCAAACTTTTCCTTCGCTTTAGTGACATGTTTTAGTGACATGCACTTCAAATGACACGTGTATTGGCTGTCAGGACACTAATATTAACAATATTTGATGGATATGGAGCACGAAGACAATACTAACCAGTAACTTTGATTTTGAAATACTTCTCAAGAGACAATCCTCCGTTGTCAGTGACGCTGATTAGCAAATCGAATTCACTTTGCGTCTCGAAATCCAGCAGCCGAGTTGTAACAAGTGAGCTGTTCGTTTGACCAGATATTCCAAATGGTGAGTTCACTGGTGACTCGATGTGATATGTTAGTTTCCCGGAATTAACATCTGGATCGCGTGACATTAGGTTACCAACAACGGATCCTATTCGCGCATTTTCGGGTATTGATGACCATGAAAGAGTCAGGTATTCGGGTACTTCATTTTGATCTAAAAAACAAGTACGTTGTCAAAATCGACCGGATACGTGGTATCAAGAAAAAATGATAATACTAAGATAGTCTAACTAAAACCCCTCGATTTACTTCTGGACTTTTCGGCAGAACGGGCTCTGTTGTCCGAAACAAGACTACCTTTGACAAGAGTAAGTCTTGACAAGATGAAAGAGTCGTTGCTCTTACAATTTCACCATGTTTTAGTACGGTTTCTAACCACTTCTCCTTCACCGACTTTGGCTTTTGCATGTCCTTTACGGAGGCAAGTCATCTTAGTTCTATTGTTTTAACTTGGTGGTATGAAAAAGTGAATGCGAAAATACTAGATACTAAAAATATTTGAAAAAAACTAGAAATACTGAAAACGGCTCTGAACATGAGATGATATAAAGATTTGAGCTTAAGCTTTTTCACACTATCTGAAGGTGATAGCTTGTCTGCTCATCACGTCCTCGCATTTTGAAAAGAGGACAAACAACACAAATGGTAACAACTGGGAAACCTGATAGCAAAAGAAGCACAAGACCATAAAAGGGAAAGGATTTTTGACAGCATATCAAAAAAGTGAGCGTAGACAAGGGTTCCAGACACAACAAGAACCCCGAAAATTGAGGAGCATGATCCCTGTCACCAGATAGCACAGAAAATAGCATTATGAGAGACAAGAGCTTGCTTCTTTACTCGATGCCTTGAATTTCTCTTGAGTTGCCACCAGGTTTTAATTTATTGCTTGACAGAAGAAAAACTGTCAATGCAGCAGCTAAGCCAGGTCTTACACCCAAAATGTTCTGCGTCAAGAATACAAAAAGGCACCATCTATCCAAATATTGGAGATTCAGCAACCAAAGGTGATGTTTAGTGAAAAATTGCAAAGGCAAGACCATTGAAAATCCATAGTAAAAAAATATCGTTCGCCCAGTACTTCTTAGAGTTCGCTTCATTCATTAACCAGTGTTGATGAATGATGGAAGTTGACCAGTTCTGAAATAGGCCGCTCAAAATGACGTCACGCACCAAAAATGGCTGGGTAATAGCAAAATGTGACCAAGCACGACACTTTTTCAAGGAGCGGGAAGTAGGAACAGCGCCCTTATTATCTTATCTCGTAAACATTCGGAATATAATGCTAAAGGTTGAAAGACTGGACTTACCACGAACTGTAATGATAAACCTTTTCCAGATTGAAAGTGGAGGGACGCCATTGTCCATACATGTAATGTTGATTTGGTAAGATGCCTTCGATTCGTAGTCCAGGTTTCCAGACACAATAAGATTTAAGCCCTGGATTGAAAACGGACTCGACGGACTAACAACACAAGTATGTCCTTGGGGTGATCGCTGCGATGTATCTGGATCCGCAATCTAGAAAATCAAAATTTCAAATCAATTAAGGTACCGTTTTGTCCTTTGTATTCCTGCTCCCTCTGATATTCCCATCTCTTTAAAATCCCTCGTTTTCAAAATTAATCCCGGCTCTCTAGTAATCCCACGAGTGGATTTCCTCAGTCATGTCAGTCTTGTGTGGAACAGCTCTAAGTGCCATATTAGAAAAAAGATGAAAGATCCATCTAAAATCTAAAGACACCAGAGGTCAGCTTGAAATAGCCTTTGAAATAAATTTACACTTGACCATGCAATGCATAGTTTGGATCTTGAAAACAAGTAATTCTGAGTCAGAACAGTTAGAGCAAAATGTTTTTGACTTGTTAAAGACTGGGACAGCATATCATGTGATCGTATTACAACCTCATTAAAGGTTCATGGTCTAACAGACAGACTAGAACCATTTGACGCTGATGAGAGTAGGAAATTTTGTTCTGTCTCATTACTGGTGAAAGTTAGAAAAAAGTGATTAGATTCTTGATAAATAGATTCTTGATATATATTCTCAATTGTGTTCCTTTGGACCATTTTTATGACGTTTTATGCTCTGAGGAGCGTCAAACGAAAAAGCTTTGAGCCAATATGTTATAAAACGTTTGCTTTTCCAAAGCCATTTTCAAGCTCTGTACCGCCAAAAAACTGTCCATAATAAGGATCGTTTATTCGAATACTAAATGCCTTTCAAAACCTCACTTAATAAACAATGCGTGATCCATGTGTGGTAGTTAAATTACTTTATCTTTATCTATACTTCATCTTCCTAGCTACTGTCGGTCGTAATCATGATTGATAGGTGGGCTTTAGCTATAAAAAGCAAACTGTATGTGCTTGAGGTCTTATACGTACCGCTAACTGGCCCACAACAGTACCAGCAGGACTATTTTCGAGCACATAGTTCTTTGAAATTGTAATGCCAGTCGGGGCTTCGTTCAGATTTACGACGTGAACCAAGAATTCCTTCAGGTTAAAGGCTCCGCTTGGGTCAGCAACTGTTAGTTTTACTGAATATGTGTTCTTAGTTTCGTAGTCAACAGTGTCCTTTAAAATCAAATTCGTCCTACACAGACTGTGTCTCACCGAGTTAACCGTAGAATTAAAGCAAATGGTAGGCCCTAATTCGAAAGTTTGCAACGTGTCTGCATCGCTCTGCGAAACAGAGAACGTCAGTTTGTCTCCATCCTCGTCATAAGCTGTGAATTCACCTGCGACAAAGCCAATACTTGCATTCTCATATAATTTGTGCCCCTGAAACCTCACATTCTTAGGAGAATCATTGGTGTTAATGATGTTTATGACAATAGTTGCTTGCGCCCAACGTGGGTTCGTCTGGTCTTTATCCGTGCAGTTGACAATAATGCGATGATACTGATGTGCCTGATGATCAAGAGCACCAGCAACAACCAGATTTGGTCCTTGCAAACCAAAACGGCCTCTGTCGTCTTCAATCAGCGACCAAACGAAATCACTTGATGGTAAGTTGCCTCTTGGACCATCATAGTCAATTGCAGACAACACCCCAATAACATGGCCGTGGGTAGCTGTATCCATAACGCTGTTGTTTGAAATTTGTATCGAGTAAGGGGGGTCGTTCACATTAGTCACAGTGATGGTGAAGTTTTTATCAAGCCACATCGGAGGAAGACCGGGGCTTGTCGCACGGATTATGATGTGGTAGTTGTTAATTTGCAAACCTTGTAGGTTTTTCCATCGCGGTACCCACGTGTTTAGAAGCCTATTTCCCTGTATCTGGAAGAAATACTGCCCTGCTGAAGGCTGCATACTGTATGCAATTCCATTTGTTTCAATGGGGACTGTCACTGACAGGGACCCCACAACAGCTCCAACAGAAGAATGTTCCTTCAATGTTGTCTTTGAGAGCAAGATATTTGAAGGAGGGTCGTTTCTTCTCCTGCAAAAATAGTGAGTGGGAAATACTGAAGCATTCGACCAAACAGCTCTACCGGACGTGTCCAGGCCACAGGTTGTGGAAGTGACAACATTCTGGAAATCTTCTTTAAGCACAACTTTTGCGAAAGGCAAAGTAAAATCATTGATTTTTGCGATGCCAAAATCTGTAGGGCAGTTGAAATGGCACTGGGCGTTGAGCCTTGTACCCAAGGGACAATTGGCGGCTACTTTCTGGCAAACCATGCCTACATGGTCTGTATACACGGGGGCATGACAGTGACTGAGAAATGGTGTTCCGCAGTCCTTTGCCTGGCAAGTTTTCATGTCTGTTCCAAGAATGTACCCCGTCGGACAGTCACATTTATAACTGCCTGCAGTGTTATGACAAGTGTGGGAGCATGGTCCTCTCCCTCCATTGGTCTGACACTCATTTATATCTTGACATCTTTTACCATCTGAAAAAGACAAATAATTTTGATATATTAATAGTAAGAAAGCATCGAAAGTAGCCCTCTTCAAAACTCAAAGATGAACAATGGCCCACTCAGATTTTGGGATGGCAGGGGGACCTCCAATCCTCCGTTCCTTCGATCCTCTGCTACTATCTTCTATTTCTTTTCCTTGCTCGAAATTTTTTTTTGGTTCTGGTTGCTAGGATAGAAAGCTCTAGGTACCAATTTGAGCTTTATTCTAAAGCTGTTGTTATAGGTGTTAAATTTTCCTTCCACACCCCCCCCCCCCCCCCCCCACTTGTCCAACTCTGTGTCTTAGCCTATAAAAGTTTCTTGTAAGAGAAAAAGAGCGTAGTTTGTTTACCATGGTGGATTGACAAAAGCACGCCGTAGTACAAGAATGGGTACCTTACCTTTTACCCTGGCAAACATAAGCAATTTTCATTATTATACAGTTATTGCCTGCGATCACCGCCCCCCTCCCTACACTACGGCACTTCCCCTGCTAACATCCGGGTTATCAGGACAGAAATAAGACAGCAACAAAAAACTATAACACATCAATAGCTCTCTACGCAGGTATCGTGAACGTCGAAAAGATGACAAGGAATTACAAAACAACAAAAAACATTTTTTCAGCAAATGAATTGCGGGTACCAGCAACAAATACCTAACAGGAAAAAATTGCAAATTAACGACAGGATTATATTTCTGATTCATACTCTTCAGAGTGAGTTATCTGATGTCAACAACTTCATGGGTTAGACAATCTTCTCTATCAAACCACCTTCGTTATAAAACTCGGATTGTGTCAAGATACAAACACTTTTTGTTACAGTGAAAGAACGGCCGTCGAGAACCATACCTTGCCCAGGGGCAGGAACCTTGGGCCCCTTCCTACTTAACCCTTATTGTAGCATTACATGATTGTCCTGAAAAGAATTATCCTTTATAAATATGTATTATTATTCATTTATTATTACCCAAAACAATGAACATTAAATGCCTTTAATATGGATTGAAAATGCATATAATTTTCATTCACTTTGATTTATATTTGTAAGGCACTGTTAACCTCTGTAAAACTTCTTTTATAGAAATATTTTCAGTTTATTCTATCAATTTCTAATATCACTAACAGGTATTTCAATAGATTTTATTTGTACAGTAGGCTATGGTTAGAGTCAGAAAAAGTTGCTTGAAAATTTGTAGAAAAACGTAATTAAATAGTTTTGCATATTTGGTCATGTTCTATGTGGCTGCAGCTGGTAGTGTGACTTAAAATTGATTGACTATAATGAGTGATGCCAGAACATGGGGGCCAAGGGGGCAGCTGCCTTGAGTCAAATCGGTGACAGAAATTCAAGCTTTCATTTTAGGGGCCCAGGCCCACGATTTTGCAACAATATGACATCCTGGATGGGTTTTTGGCAGATAAAATATTTTTAATCATCTGAAGAAAACACAAACTTTCCAATAAGAATGCTGATTGGGGGCCTGAGCCCCTATGCCCCTCATACTTTCTGGGTCAAATTGTAACCCTTGCATTGCCCCACCAATGTCTAGCTCTTTCACCTAAGCATCCATTTGTCTGCTTAAACAATGCTCACTGTATGGGTTCTGTTAGGAGGTTTGCTCTATTAACAAAATCCTCTGACTAGAGTCACTTGATCAGCAGACTGCAATTTTTAATACCTAAAATCACCTGAAAAAGTTTAGCAACAATGCCAACGGATCTTGGAACATGCAAAGGGGACCAAATTCCAATAGAGAGGGGTCTTGCAAACAAACAATACTATATTATAATAGGTTATATTATTACCCAGCCTTCAACAGCCGACATGATTCTACTTGGGTATCCCTAGCTTAAATACTTAAAACTGACTTGGCTCACAGTAGATTAAAACTCTAGTGCTGTTAGTAAGCAAAGTATCGTTCCTACAGCTCCTGCCAACACAATATTTTAGCTCTGTGTTCCAGTATTACATTTTGGGCTGCATGCACTCCACGATGACCACCCTACAATGTAATGAACATATAAGCAATAATAAAACAACCAATAATTATGAAATGCTTTTAGCTTTTAAAGCAAAAAATGCATGGCTAAACTAAAGACAAAATTTTCTTGTATGTTGTTACATGTCTGAGGATGCACACAATAATTCAATGTTTTATCCTTAGCCGCTTACATTAAGTTTCTTAATCAAGCCTACAGGAGTTGTTAACTTTATTAATCTTGCAATCACTTGCAGCCACCAACCCCCCAACACCTACCCACCCCTCCACACAACCCTGATCTGACCTCTTCCTTGCCCCCAGCTGTCCACCAATGATCATAAGCTTATTAAATCTTTCATCAATACCATTAAAGCTCTCATCATCATTAACAATTAAGGTCTTTTTAACATGCTAACTACAGAGACAATTGCCCCTTATGTCTCAGTTACTTTGCATTTTTTAAAAAAACAGGCTGTTCTCCTGTATTTTATATAAGCAAAAGGGTTACTCCCTCCCTCCCTCCCTCCCTTCCCTCCCTCCTCCTCCCTCCCTCCCTCCCTCCCTCCCTCCCTCCCTCCCTCCCTTCCTTCCCTCCTCCCTTCCCTACCTCCCTCCCTCCCTCCCTCCCTCCCTCCCTCCCTCCCTAACTCCTTCCCTTCCCTAATCCCTCCCTAACTCCCTCCATCCCTCCCTTCCTCCATCCCTCCCTTCCTCCATCCCTCCCTCCCTCCATCCCTCCCTAAGAAAGGCTATGCTATCTTCAGTATCAATTTATTTGTATCAATTGTCATTATTGATAACATAACAACCAGCATGTTCACCATAACCATCCAACAATGACATCGAACTTTAGTATAATTGAGATGAATTGTACATATGTTGATTAAGTATAATTGAAATGAATTGTACATGAAAGTGGGAAAATTGCTAAAGCAATTTCTTTGGAAAACGAAACTAAAAAGACTTTTGCGAAAAAATTTGATGAGAGCATTAAGTCAAAAAAACTCAAAGTTAAATGATAGATCCAAGTCTAAGATGCATAGCTTTGTTTCAGTAACAGAGAGAGAGAATGGTCAGATAAAGAAAAATGAATTTTGTTTCAAACATAATCAATGCAAAACTATCCCTCTCTACCAAAGGACATTACTATGGTGTTGGCTGCTACTACTGCTGCCACTGCAGAGAAACCAAGTATTGCCTATTTGGAATGAGCCTTTCAAAGTTAGAGATAGAGGAAGAATAATAGTACACTGGAAGCAATATTAGAGCTTATTAGGCGTCTGGGAACATAAACTTGACAAGTGTAACAAAACATTTATGCATCAGTGCTAATTTCATAATAAGCAATCTTTCATTCCCGAAACTAGCATTAAAATCTACAAACGAATGTTATTAATTTCTCTTCAGATGACTGTCTCTTAATTATGACTCTCTGTTTAAGCAGTGTGTGAGTTATGCAGGAATGCAATAGGATTGTTATAATTTTCAATGTTAAGTTGTCATTGATAATTTTCTGAAGTATTTAATACTTTGAGGACAAAGAACCCCTAGTTTATTCTCTATGTCTTTTTCTATTAGCTGTTTACTACGGAAAAATTATTCTGCTGCTATACCAGTTTTGTTCTATTTTGGACCCAACTTCTAAATCAAATATTTGTCATAAAGTAAGACTATAGACAACTGGGTTGGGGTTCATGCTTACTTGTTTCTGCTAATTGATTGCACGACCAATAAATTAATTTGGTGCAAAAATACACCACTTTTAAAATCATTTGCACACAAACTGCAGGCACCATGCAACAGGGGGCTGGGTGGCTTATAGGCCCACTGCCCAATTTTTTGCTGAAATGTAAACAAATAAGGAATGGACCACTAGTGAAGCCTCTTTCTGTTCAGTTTATCCCCCTACTTTTATCAAGATTCTGTGTGGCCTGAACTGTATTTTTTGGATCAAACAAAAGAGGTTTATTCATTTTTGAAAGCAAGTTGATATCCTAGATTCGTAAGTTTACCTGACTTCAGAATTCAATAAAACTTTTGGGAATCCCCTGTGCTTATATATCATGGATAAATGTTCCATGCAAATTTTAAAAAGTTTCATTACGTTATCACCTCGCATTCTATTTTCCAAAATGTATGCAGTGGGGTTTGTCAGGGTATGAGTATAAAAATCCAATTAAATAAAATCAAAACAAAAACACAATTATTCAATCCTTTCAGTTATTACCTAATTTAAGAAATGATTGTTAGAAATTATTCTTTACTGGGAAAACTAGTTATGGAAACTAGTTGCTAACAAAACAGAAAAACTTCCTCGCTGACTTCCTAAAGTGGGAGGACACTTCTTTGACAATAGACAGATCAAATAAATTTCAATTCGCATATAATAAGGGAAATTTGACGATATCGTATTTCAAGGAAGTAAAATGTAAAGGACGCAATTACCCGGAAAAAAAACGAAAACAAAGCAACCGACTCCTTCCCGAGGAACCATCAATCCGTTTGAAAATATCACTGATCGGTGGAAAATATCGATAAAATGACGTGACAGGTCATCATTCCCAAATGATTGGGTTGAACGGAAGCAAGTTTACGACATGTTTCGCCGTTTATGTTTAGGCCAAATGAGGTTTAAATGCACTAAAACTTCAACAATTGAGCAAAGATTTCTTACCACTGACATAACAATCTGGTTCTGGCGGGGGAACAGTTCTCCTTCGTCGACGTCGTCGCCGTCCCCACAAATGACCCTCAACTTCCAAAACAATCTGTACCCATACCACCAACACACCGATTAACACTAACAATTTCATTTCACCTTTCAACGAAGCTACCAGCAAATGTCCACATAATCACAGAATAATCTCGAACTGCCTTATCTTTTTATTCATTTAACAATAGAGTGGTTCAGCGATTGTTTGCCGTAGAATTTCAGTCCTACGCATGATGGAGAAAGAATCTGACTGTGCCTATGAAACTAAATTTTTATAGCCACGTGACGTCATTGTCGTCATGGTTCGATCACACCGTGATCTTTGTTTGTCAATAAGTTGAGCTGAATGCTCCTTCTCAGGATTTGTTCGCAATGGTTTGCACAGAAAAAGTCATCATCATAATCTTATATGGTCGACACCAGGCCTACTGGACACGTTAGATTTTACGGATCTTGCATAAAGGTTTCGCTAAAATTTTTGTATGACAAGACTTGCTAACTAAGTCATTTCAGTGTCTTGGGTATTCTTGACAGCGACTCAGAAAACGCTTGAATTCTCGCACAATTTTTCATTAAAACACCTCTACAAGAAACTCTATGTGCTTCTTTTTAAAACTTGAGAAACTTTGGTACAAGTTTTTCTGGATCATAAATATTTAAAAATTTCATGCTTGCGTTATGAAATCAATGTTGACACTTAAGGACCTCACTATAGTCGGAAAGCTACATATGGGCTTTTATATGCAAGCATTTATTGGGATGTACTATAGCCGATTAACAGACCTTTTAACTCGTGCACATCAAAAATAAAAAAAATTTTTAATAAATTTAAAGCAAAGTTTTCTGTATGACGGGTAATTATGAACCCTTGTCTCCCCTTCTAATGCAGTTATATTCAGTATGTCGTTGTAAACACTTAATTGATGCCCATTAATTGCAGGGGTGACACAACACAATCGTAAATGACAAGCCTGTTGTACCCTCTTTTTGCATTGAAAATAGCCAATTATGATGTGGGCGGAGAAAGTTGAGAAAAAGGAAAATTTTGATTGCATAAACTTACATGATATTTGACAAACGGTGATCCACCTTCGCCGGGTAACGTATCTTCTTCTATAGATCCTAGATGCATACCGCCGTCGATGAAAAATAATGTACCTTCTTCTTCTGAAGCTAAACCTTCGTCTTTGGGCATAATATCGTCTTCTAGTATAAGACATAAAACTGCCTCGACCGCTCAAACTTCCATCGCCGTCCAGATCATCTCCTTCCTCTTCGGCATCGCCCTCCTGATCATCGTCTGCACGACAATCTTTCTGTACCAAGGCGAGAGCAATTGCTAATGCCACAAAGAAGCAAATCGAACGGCTGAATCTCTTCATTTTTAAAATGCAATCTGAAACTGAATGAAAACAGAAATAAAACACTGATGAAAATAGTTCCGGGTCCGCAACGAGGTCCCTGCTTCCAGTCAATGGATTGGTCCCGATGATTTTTATTCCCCCCCCCCCCCCCCCTCTTCGGATGGCTGATGCTGCCACTGCTTCCAGTCATGTTGCAATCGCCTTGCGCTAATTAGAGACTCCCTATTCTTGCCAGCAACTTCATTTCCGAGATATGTCAGTTAAGTGATTTATTCTATGTTCAAGTACACAAAATCAGGATCACAACAGGTGCTTTTAGCCCTTTTAGGGTGGGCAAATAGGTACCAGAGAGTCACAGGAATACTTGCAAAAGAATGCTACCCAGAAGCAGATGATTTATCCAAATTTTGAATTTAACCACACTCTTATCCAGATCCTGACAACAAGCGTGTATCACGGGGAGTTCCTCCATCTGGGCATGTGCAACGAGCAAGGGTATATTTTTTCCATTCTTGTCTAGCCATGAGCAGTGGCGGAGCCACTGGGGGGATAGGAGTACTAATCCCCCCATTTTGTCAGGAAGTCGGTCTTCGAGATTCTTGCAAATCTGAAAAGAAAACTTCGAGGGGGGGGGGGGATTATGTACATTATCTACATTGCTACAATTTCAGACAAAAATGACTGAGACTTTTCAAGGAAAGCTTACAATTTCACTTTCCTTTAAAAATAACTTTCTCTCCTCCCCCAATCCAATAAACAATGCATGATTTTGAAGGAGAAATGATAGAACTACAACTCCAACTACAAATCCAGCATTGATTCGGGGAAAAGGGGGGATTCGAATTTATAGGGGCGATGTAAAGTAAAAAATTGCCGAAATTGCATTTTCTCTCAACAATTGTGTCCGGGATTGTAGTCTGAGACAAAGGACCAAACGTTTTTTCCATGGACTATCATCACCTTGTCAATAATTTTGTAGATTACGGTCCTTAGTTTCTTGGTACTTTCTACAATGCTAGAAAAGCTTCTTTTAATAATAGCGAGAAAGATATAGCCAACAGAATTGACTTATCACTTCGAAAACAATTTACCATCAAATAAAGGGAGCTTATCTTATAGTCCATAATATTAAACAGCTAAAAACTTGGCCTATCGATCAGAACTTGCTATCCCCTATATGGCATCCCTTCAAAAACTTTTTTGAATAATTTGTAACTTCAACAGCTCGTTGTATTAGATTTCATGAAATTGTGGCTTTTGAAATTTTTTACTATTAGCATTTCATTATATATAGGTTTTTTCGTGATTTCTACACACGTAAAATTTCTAATCTCAAAACTCTAAAATTAAGTTTCAGGCAATTGCATTCATTGCCAACGGTAAATTGGATGACATTTCTTGGGAGACAAGGGATGTTTCCTACGGGAGAAAACATTTCCCACAGGGAAAATAGAGCGTGATCCAAAATGGGTGTGGTTCCTGACACCCCTTTTGTCAACCCCTCCTCCCCACCCCCACCCCCCCACTTATCACAGGCTGGAGCGCCACTGGCAATGGGTATCTTCTTTTATAATATTGGTCTAGGGAAAGATCTTTTATAGTAGGAACTTCATCCTGACAACTCATTCTTGTTGATTATAAACTACTACTACATGAAACGAATCGACCTTTGGCATTTTGAGGTATCTGCTAACTCGAATGGCTTGGAAATGACTGTGGTCAATGGTATCGTTTTGGAAAACTAGTCAAGCCAAGGGTATCATCACAGGGTAGAAGCAATTGCATAGAAAGTGGTCTAGCCAAGGATACCACTCTTGATATATATCAGGTGAGTTTTTGCATGGCGTTATGTTAAGATCGGTTCTAATTATGTTTGCATAAATGTCCCTTTCTATTTGGCTCTTCATATACAATGTAAGAGAAATCATAGCAACAAAAAATTGTCTATCCCAGTCCTACCGAACTTTTAGACCCTGCCCTGATATCTGCGCACAGAATAAAAAATATTAATATGATCTATTTTCTGTTAAAACCAAGTCGTTAGTGAATTGTTTAACATACTAAGTGGTGCGGGAATTGCCCGGGGGATTATGGCGTTATCGAGATTAGATGTTGAAACACAGAATTATTCGCGCCTTTTTGCATTTGGCAGGTGTTTTCAGACTAGATTGGTTACCTGATACATCAAATTTCTACCTGCTGTCTCAGATTCCAACAGCGAATGTAAACATCAGTTGCAAGATTCTAAGCGAAAACCTTGATTGACCAGTTTTTTTGGCTTGGTATTTCATTAAAATATCCTTGTATGCATCATTGACCACTTATCTCTGGGCCCTAATTTACAAAAACAGAAATGGAAACTTGATCATCTTGATCATTTTAAACTTGAATTGTGAACAAGAAAATAGTAGTTAGAAAGTAATAAAAAGAAGTACGTAATAAGTAGTCTGGTTTGATAAAGGAAGCAGAGACCCTTTTAAGAGTAATGCTAGCGGTCACAATAACAAGAGCATGTGGAACACGAGCAGTGGCGGATTTAAGGGGAGGCCACTAGGGGCAGTTGCCCCTCCTTCAACGAGTTGAAGCAAGTCTGGCGCCCCTCTTTTGGAAATTGTACGCCCCTTTTGAAGAATGGGAATCAGGTGAAAAGTTTTTGAGACCGATAGGTTAATTTGCTTCAAGGATTATCTCGAAGTTATGTTATTTATTCCGAAAATGGATCTGAAATCGTTGTATACAGCGTACTCTCGTCAACAATTTTGAAAATCTTTCAGCGCCCCCACTTCCAACTGCCCCTGCTTAAAATTTGGTCTGGATCGACCCCTGAACACGAGAAATTGTATCATACTTACCACGGAGCAGTTCACATTTGCAAATAGCGTAGATGTCTGCAAAAACAAAAGGATTTCCAAGGATTTTCAGATAAAACAATATGATTAAAACGAAAAATTTTCAGATAATGATTTGCCCCTTGCATTGTTTTTGCTCAACTTTCTGTATGTCGAGAAAACCTTTTATTTACTTTGCACCCACTTTGAGAAACGCGTATGGCGAAGAAACAATGTCAACCACGGAAAGGAGTTTTATTAGCTTTTATAACAAGGTGTTTTGCTGTGACAGGTACTTTGCTGCGATAACGCAAAACAAACGTCACCGCTGGAGCTTCATAAGAAAAGTAACAATTCCAGTTGGTAGAAAAAGCAAAATCAAATCCACTTGGTTAATACTTTAAAATGCTAAAAACTTCGGCATCTTACCTTGGCAATGATGCTCCTGCAAGAGATGACTCTTTTGATTATGTCGTAATTCTGTTATCGAAATTGTAACGCAATGTTATAACGCAGGGTGATGTCGCAGGGCAAGACTCTCATCGCAACCAAATAGACGACAAGAACAAACAAAATCCAGTACCTTATTTGCATGACAAATGAAAAGAGTCGCCCCAATAGATAAGCGAATATGAACCATAATGTGGTAAATGGCAAACGCAGACCATTAGGCCCAAATGGTTGACTGGGAGGCAGTGTCGTATGGTCTCAATTTTCACATACAGTCTCGCTAATCTTTTGTCGTGATAACGTCGCTCCTTCAATCCAACTATCGCTCTTTCGTCTTCGTTGTATACGTCTCCTAGTCAGAAAATTCAATTTTATCATTTCCGGAGGAGAGCAAAAAAGGAGTTATTTCCTAGAAAACAATCATGCATTTTACACTGCTGCTGATTTTGCCTGCCACTACGGAGAACAGAAACATTCTAAGCAAAGCTGATTTAATCATTTGTTGAAAAAAGGGGAAAGAGCGAAAGCATGGCAGACCCATACCCAATTTTCGGAAGCTGAATGTGGGGAGCCACCTTGGTTCACACCAAAGCTCCGTTCTCTTTCAGGCTTGGTTGGAAGATAAACAAAATTTAATCGAATAGAATAACGACTTTGTACAAGAAATGAATATTTGGTACAAAATTTCTAATGGATTGTCATCCGACCTTCAGAACGAATCTTTCTTTGTAAACTTTAAACGCAAAATAGATAATCTAAGCTTTGCACGTTTATCGTATAGTATTCTAGCTTTTAAATTTTTTACTTTGTCAATAGTTTCTTTAAACAAGACCCTTATTGATAGCAGTACTTTACTTGTACTGAAAAGGCGTATCCTGTATAAATATGTATTATTATTATTATTATTATTATTATTTTTATTATTATTTTTATTATGTTATTATAATTAAATTATCATTATATATTAATATTATTATTTATTATATTATTATTGTATTATCATTATATTTCGTACCAACTATTCATTTCTTGTACAAAGTCGTTATTTTATTGCATCAAATTTTATTCTTTCTCGACATACAACACGCACAACTTCATTGGTTGGAAGATATACGAAGTTCACGGCGAACGAGAGCCCCCCATGGTGACGTCAGAATGTCATCAAACTGATTCGGCTTTTGACGTTTTTTTCACGGAATTGTGCAACTTTAAAGAGTTATAAATTCTAAGCTAAGTGGAAGTTTGCAAAATCAACTACTTTGACATACTACATGCACCAGATACTAACTTTTTTGCCAATAATTTTGCTTGGCTGGAGATGCCGTAGGTGCCCAACTATTGCGCGAAAGCAAGCGAAGCTGTAATTTAGGGAAACGGTGAAAGCATAGTGGAAGTGACGGGTCGCTCAGTAGCAGTGGTTCAACCAAAGTGGGGCAACTGAGTTAAACTTAACAGTTGAATAGTGCAAAATTTTCGGACAAAAAGCAAACTGTCCGATGAGCTTATTAGAAGTTTTGTGCTAAAAAGTTATTGTTTAGGCGTGCCCACTATGAAGTAAAGCAGGGAGCCTGGGATTGAATCTAAAATTGACGTAAGATTACCGTTAATGTTAGTTTAAACACATAAAGCATCATCTTTTCAAGCTATTTAGCCGACGTTAAGACAGGGAAATTACCATAGCAATCCCGCATACTTTAATTTTCAATCTTGATTCAGAATCTTCAAACCGAGCTTTAAACATTAATAAACAACTTTAGACAATGCATCTGTCCATTGCTTATAAGATTCAACTACCTTCACTAAGGTTTGTTATCCTGCGAAATTCATGTTTTTAGTTGAGGCTGAGAGTGCTACAGAAATGGTCACTGCATTGTTCAATTAAGTTATTCAAACCAATTCTGTTACTGTTATGATAAACAGTTACAGTCCCTTGGATACCCCAAAAAAAGACGGAACAGAGAAACAAAATAGTATGGAAAAGATTGAAAGGAAAAAGGCAAGATAAAGACCGGTGTTCGAGCACATAAAAGAGTACGGAAAGCAGAAACCATTGGCAAAAACTGGTCGCAGAAATCTTGCAATGGGGCACTACAAGATTAGGTGATGGCTCAGTATAGGGACAAACTGAACATCAGTACCTGAAGAAATAGTTGGAGATACGTAGAACGATTTGACACGATCCATATAAACAGAACGATCAATTTGGCTTTTGGAAAGCTGTTCCATAGCCTTGGATGCAAGCAAAAGCAGGCAAAAGCGGTGATTTTTACGCATAAGCAGCGAAAAAGAAAAACACGTAAATAAAAAAGATATACATTGTGTTTTATAGTATTCTCAACAGACGTCATCGATTCACATCAAACATAGTTGGGAATATCGCAATTAAAAAAATCTTTATACTTTCTACTAAATTGCTACTTTAAACTCTGTTAATCATACAGGGGTTTATTCAAGAGCGGAAAAAACTTAGTTTCACATTCAGTTCTGGTTTCTACTATATATTGTAACAGAAAATTATGGAAGGCAAATTCAAGGGTGTCAGACAGCCAGTTTTTGTCCTTTGAAGCCGAAAACTCAATGGGAACCTCAACCTATTCAAAGGCTACCGTTAAATCTTCGCAAGTGTTATAAAGTAATTTCAGGGCCTCCGACAAAGGGGGGCCAGGGGGCGATGCCCCCCATTTCTTTACAAAACAATAGAGCTTTTTCAAACATCTTTTGTTATGATTGTTAAAATCTTCCTTGCCCCCCCCCCACTTTCCAACCTGCGCGTAGCCCATGAATTTTGAAGGACTTTTGGAAAAAGGTGCTTGGTCCGGTAATTTCCTCAACTCGGGTTTGAGGGAAAACATATAAGAAGATATATGTTAGGCAAAATGACTACATAAGTAGGGTACTATGATAAAGACGAGAGGCTAAGACCAGAGCCCGTTCTAACCTCTAAAGAAATTATTTTCATATGGTAGACAAAAAACAACGAAGTACTTTGTTAAGCACCTTGAGATGTATTTTGAAGTATGGCTAACTAGCAATGCGTCACAAACCATAGACAAAATATTGTCTGTTAATCATCATAAAGAGTTTACATACTGAAACTGTGGTTACAATTTTCAATCCGGAGATGGTATGCGCAGTCGCCGACAACGTCTAATCGTAATATCTGTAAAAGCGGAAAACGTCAGACATCGTTGGGGAAGCACTAAGCATTTACTAAGGAGCAAACTATACAGACAAAGTGCCTCCTATTGGTGAAAAAATACATAGGTTACCAAAACAGACACCCTAAGCTATAAACATAAAGTAAGAAGTGACGCTGCAATGAATTGGTTAGTACTGTGTCATTTGATTATTTTGGACAATTCTTTACCAACTAAGTTCAATGGTATTGCTCTCTGTTTGTGGGTTTGTAATGTGGTATTTGGAGGCCAATTAATCTCATCTGAGTAATACTCGCATCTCTTAAGAAACTTCGGTTACAGTGGATAAGTGTACTATATAAACAAAATGCAAAAATACAAACTTAATAAGAAAAACAAATTTTGTATACAATTATTCAAACGATTGTTTCGTTTTGGCTAATTTTGTTTCCAGTACTGTCCGATTCTCCATCGCCTGTTTGAAGAGGAAAAAACAAACTCAGTTAGCTGCTAACTGCAAACAGGAACATGGATCAGTTTCGATGAGCAGTGACAAGGAAGTGACGTGCTAGGGCATATCAACAAATCTTCTTTTATCATGTTAAATGGACAAACATATCTAGCAAACCCAACGAAGCTTGTCAACATTTGAATAAAAATGACCACGATTTGGGTTACTTATGGTTTCGAAATACTTTAGAAAAGAAAACCTAGTATTTTAATACTCTTGATTACTTATTCATAATTTTAGTTTTTCTGCATATCAAAACCGAAAGTAATGCTTATATGGTGTCTATCTGTCCTTTGTCTTGTTTTTGTTTTATCGCTAATGGTTGGCTATAAACTTGATTTTCCCAAAAGGATCATTCCCCAAAGGGCTATTTCCCGAAGGATCATTCCCCAAAGGGTTATTTCCCGAAGGATTATTCCCCAAAGCAGTAATTCTCCTATTCAGTGTTCTAATATAAATTCTCTGATGGACACCTGATAGATATTCTCTGATATTATGGACGTGGTTTTTAGTGTCGTTTTATATTTATGTAACA